TGTTATGCTGAGGTCTGTCTGTTTTTGCTATTTATTTTGCGTTTTTGTTTTTGCAGCTCTTTTTTGTTTTGTTTTTGTGACTCTGTGGAACCCAGTTCAGCTACTGATTGATTGATTGATTGATTGATTATGTGACTGCAGTACATTATTGCTTTCATTTTATGGATCAATGGTCTCGTTAGATAGTAAAATTCATGTTAAATTGCTGTTTTAGGGGATGTTTTTAAAAATCTGGAACGGATTAATCCATTTTGCATTATTGTCTATGGGAAAGCATGCCTTGGTTTTAGAACGTTTTGGTTTTGGAACGGACTTCCGGAACGGATTACGTTTGAAAACCAAGGTACCACTGTAGTTGGAAATGGTCCCTGAAACCTTCATGACAGCACTTCGGGCTTCAACATGTAAACTTATTTCGATTCGGTGAGGAGTTACTTGTCTTTTGTTTGTTACTTTCTTTAAAGGTGATTTGGGTGGAGCAGCATTTTCCTTGGTTGAACGCTAAAAAGTTTTAGAAGGCTCATACGGCTTGATGCCTTGAATTTCATTCAGTTGCTCCTGGAGCTGTGCCCAGAGTGGGGTTGTGCACACCAGAGTTGGAATGAATTAGGGCTACACAGTCCCATTGACGCTGTACTTGCATCAGATAGCTTGGCAACACAAAGGAAGGGATTGGAGTTAAATTACATAGACGGAACCCGTTTTGCATGCCGGTTAACCAAACAGGCATGAATATGACATGTGGAAGAGGCCTTTGAAGAGTTTTTGGAAGTTTCCTGTCGGCTAGTACAGCAGGCTGCAAAGCTTCAGGGGCCTTCCTAGGACAAACTTTGGTTACAGCTTCTGCTTAATTGAGACAGAGCTAAACCAAGAGCATGGGTTCAGATTACACACTAAGCTGCGGGGCACGGGGACTGAATCCTTCTCCCCTGCATCCCTGCAGACCAGGTTTGACAGGTGGTTTGACAAGCAGAATGTCATATATTAGGTGTAGGAAAGATGGGCATGGATTGGACAAAATGGCATTGTGAGCCAAATGGGGAGGCTCCACCACACTCCTGCACTATGCCAAGCCATGGTTTTGTTTAGCATGATTCAGAAGGAAAATGACTGGAAATGAGCTAAGCGCACACAATCTCCTTCCTGGGAGCCTGCGCACTAGAATGTTCATGCTAAGCCATGGTTTGGCTTAGTGTGCATGTACGCACAAAAGGATGTTCTCAAGGTAAACATGACTGAGGGCTACCTGGTCATTCGTCATTGGGACGTGGGTAGCACTGTGGTCTAAACCACTGAGCCTCTTGGGCTTGCTTATCAGAAGGTCGGTGGTTCGAATCCCCGCGACGGGGTGAACTCCTGTTGCTCTGTTCCAGCTCCTGCCAACCTAGTAGTTTGAAAGCATGCCAGTGCAAGTAGATAAATAGGTACCACTCCAGCGGGAAGGTAAACCGTGTTTCCGTGTGCTCTGGTTTCTTTCACAGTGTTCTGTTGCACCAGAAGCGGTTTAATCATGCTGACCACATGACCCGGAAAAACTGCCTGTGGACAAACGCCGGCTCCTTCAGCCTGAAACCAGATGAGCGCCGCAACCCCATAGTTGCCTTTGACTGGACTTAGTCGTCCAGAGATCCTTTACCTTTTTTCCTTTCCCCCCGGTCTTGTAGGACAAATTCTAGGAAGAGCCAAGCTAAGATTTGACTTAGTGTGCTGTGCAAACTGGGACTTGAAACTAAGCTCTCGCCTTACTGACCATGAGCTGTAGCCAAAGTTTGTTCTACTCATGAGTAAGTGCATCTCTCACTGACTGCTTAAAGGGGAAGAAGGCTTTCTGGTGAACTGCAGAGGTGCAGCAGGCAACTGAGCATCTCATGGATCTGTTTGTGGTGAGGCTCTCCTAGCACCCCCAAACCCCCACTAACCTTGGCTTAGCTGTGCGTAGCTGTCATGGGCTGGTCGGATGCACAGCAATGGTGGGAGGAACCAGCTGGGGAACCACCAAGGGAAGAAGATTAAGTGCCCAGGGATTGGTGGTCAGACAATGATGAGTGGTCAGAAGGAGAAGACCAGGAAGAGGAGGTGTTGGAAGGTGAGGAGGTAACAGGGCTTAGTGAGCTGGGAGAGTCAGTGGCAGAGAGAAGTCCAGAATCAGAGGTAGAAACTGAAGCAGAAGAGTGGGAGGCAGGGGCCACAAGGCAGAGAAGAGTCAGGCTGGTGAAGAGTCATGGGTATCTCCCCCTCCTGCTGCGACAAGCTCCCTTTCCCCGCTTCTCACCCAGTAGCAGAAGAAGGGTAGAAGAGAGGTTGGCTGCACCACAGGCACAGTCTCTGATTGCCCAGTACGTTTCCAAGCACAATTCAAAGTGTTGGTGCTGACCTTTAAAGCCCTAAACGGCCTCGGTCCAGTATACTTGAAGGAGTGTCTCCACCTCCATCGTTCTGCCCAGACACTGAGGTCCAGCATCGAGGGCCTTCTGGCGGTTCCCTCACTACGAGAAGCCAAGTTACAGGGAACCAGGCAGAGGGCCTTCTCGGTAGTGGCACCCGCCCTGTGGAACGCCCTCCCACCAGATGTCAAAGATAAAAACAACTACCAAACTTTTAGAAGACATCTGAAGGCAGCCCTGTTTAGGGAAGCTTTTAATGTTTAATAGGTTATTGTATTTGTATTCTGTTGGAAGCCACCCAGAGTGGCTGGGAAAACCCAGCCAGATGGGCGGGGTATAAATAATAAATTATTATTATTATTATTAATACTACTACTACTACTACTACTACTACTACTGTTATTGCTTGGGGGAAAGCCCTGAAGAGGAGGGAATATGGACAGCTGTGGGAAGGCAGGAGCTTTCAGTCTTGGCATCTACAGTGGTACCTTGAGTTATAAACGCTTCAGGTTAAAAACGCTTCAGGTTACAAACTCCGCTAACCTGGAGGAGTTACCTCGAGTTGAGAACTTTGCCCCAGGATGAGGACGGAAATCGCGTGCCGGTGGTGCAGTGGCAGCAAGAGGCCCCCATTAGCGAAAGCACACCTCTAGTTAAGAGCAGTTTCAGGTTAAGAACGGACCTCCGGAACGAATTAAGTTCGTAACTAGAGATAGCACTGTAATTCATAGGGCAAGGCTTACTGGGGATAGCAGCTGTGCTTATTAGGCCTGACACTAAGCCAAGTCTGTGGGTATCATGTTTTGCTAATAAAGAGTTAACTCCAACTTGGAACAGTGTGAATTACTGCCATCTGGCTCTTTGACAATAGCAATCGAAAAGGCCTGGGGGGGGAGCAAAGTGGCTGCAAACACCTTTCTGGAAGTTGGCATATTGGCAAAAGGTATTGCTAAGCTATGGTTTGGCTTACCATGTTGTGCGAACCAGTTTGTTATTAAAAGCAGAGTAAATTCAGCACCTTATTGACAAAGTAAAACCATTTAGATTTCTGAAGGGATCAGTTTCTTCTCTTTTTTTTGCAAATATTGGTGCATTGTTTTTGTTGCAGTGTTCAAGAAAGTACATATGAGAATGACTTTACAGTTTGCATTTGTTCTTGTCTGGTAGTAGTCTTCAATACGGTAGCTCAAGACATGCAAATTATGCTAATCAGCAGATTTTCATATCAACATTGTCAACATTTACATTTAATTTACCCATAAAATTTGCATCTCAAGGGGGCTACTATAATCAGTATTTGAGGGATAGCACAGTGAAATTTACATCTGATTGACTAGAATCTTAAGTTCAGCTGTTGCTAGGAAACCAGCTGATGTTCCATATTTTGGTTTCACAATTATCTACCATCTTTTTATTTAATAGGTCGCTTGCTGGTTCCCCCTGTAAACCATGATAAATAAATATATCTTTCTAGATTTATTTAGAAATATATCTTTTGAAATAAATACATCTTTCTAGATTTGTGCTTTCTCCGCTGTCAAGGCAGATTTGAAGCAAAGAAAAAATGAAGAAAATTATGTTTGTAAATTAATTCTCTGGGGCTGCATTATTAAGACATACACTGATAATGAATTTGAACATAATCGTTAGAGCAACTTACTTGCATCTGCTTTTTTATCTTTAGAATTATGATTTGTTAAAAATCTAACTTTTGGCAACATAATTGCACATTCGCTGTTTAGTGACTAATATTTGGATTATCAGTCTCCATTCAGAGGGTATATCAGCAGCTGCTTTAGCATTCAGCTGAATACTACTTTTTGCTGACTATTCAGGCCACTGGTTCTATCTTATTTTCCCCTCGTCTTACATTATAATTAGATCCATAATTGCATTTGATTCATACAAATGTGAAAAGGGAATATTCTGATATTTTTAATATCTTACGATGGTCGTGTGTTAATTTGAACTTTTTACAGAATTACACAGCTTGCCAGTTTTCGGAGATCATCTGGCAAAAATGCTAATTAAAGAGAGTAATGGCTCCAGTTTACAAGAGATGCAGTGCGTTTTGAAGTCCATTATTCCTGTGGCTGCATATAAATGTAGCAATTTCCTCAAACTAGTTAAATTATCCTTAAAGTGCATGGTAACATTGTAAGTGAAACGTCTTCTATTCATTTCACATGTGTCACTTAAAGTGCTTTCAAGCACCACTTCTGCAGAAACAAAATTTTAGATGTTTTATTTTGAGTGTTTTTTTGGCTTGGCCATGCGTGAAGCAGAATTTGCAACCACATTTCAATATTCCTGTGTTCTTGCATCACCTGTTGTCACGATCCCTGCATTTGGCTGCAGATCAACATCGCCCTCTAGAGCATCTCTGATCAGACCTCTCTGGAAATCTGCAGCAGGGAGATATCCTGTCTTTTATTCCCCAACAAATATCTTCAAATTAATTCCTGTTTTTCAGTACCACATCTAGTACGTCCTACCCAGCGCTTTTAACATGTAAGTGCAGAGTCATTAAGGAGGTGGTTTTAGCCTCTAAAGAAACTTCTAACTGGCTTTCTAGATTAACGACAGATATTGTGGGCATCTCAGTATTGGACAATTGGGATAGCTCAATCAGTAGAGCATGAGACTCTCAATCTCAGGGTTGTGGGTTCGAGTCCCACATTGAAATATTCCTGCATTGCAGGGGGTTGGACTAGATGATCCTCGTGGTCCCTTCCAACTCTACAATTCTATTATTCTGTGGAAACAACAATCTATCGTAAAGAGGCTAGCTTAAACTGGTTTCACAGATTCCTTTAAACGTGTGAGACTTTATTTCCTGTTGTTGTTGTTTAGTTGTTTAGTCATGTCCGACTCTTCGTGACCCCATGGACCAGAGCACGCCAGGCACTCCTGTCTTCCACTGCCTCCCGCAGTTTGGTCAAACTCATGTTTGTAGCTTCGAGAACACTGTCCAACCATCTCGTCCTCTCTCGTCCCCTTCTCCTTGTACCCTCCATCTTTCCCAACATCAGGGTCTTTTCCAGGGAGTCTTCTCTTCTCATGAGGTGGCCAAAGTACTGGAGCCTCAGCTTCAGGATCTGTCCTTCCAGTGAGCAGTCAGGGCTGATTTCCTTCAGAATGGAGAGGTTTGATCTTCTTGCAGTCCATGGGACTCTCAAGAGTCTCCTCCAACACCATAATTCAAAAACATCAATTCTTCGGCGATCAGCCTCCTTTATGGTCCAGCTCTCACTTCCATACATCACTACTGGGAAAACCATAGCTTTAGCTATACGGACCTTTGTTGGCAAGGTGATGTCTCTGCTTTTTAAGATGCTGTCTAGGTTTGTCATTGCTTTTCTCCCAAGAAGCAGGCGTCTTTTAATTTCGTGACTGCTGTCACCATCTGCAGTGATCATGGACCCCAAGAAAGTAAAATCTCTCACTGCCTTTATTTCCTAGTAACATCTAATAACCTAAATGATATCGAGCATCAGAAGAACTTGGCCACAATAAGGAAATTTTGCCCATGGCATGACTATTTTCCACCTTCCCATTTTGACTCTCTGGCACCCTATCTGCATAACCTAGCAATTCTAAAATATAGACATGCTTTTACTCTTGCAAGATTGAATGTATTGCCCTCGGCTGTACTTGAGGGACGATTCCAACAGATTCCACATGAAAAACGCTTATGTTCCTGTGGAGATGGCAGTACTGAATTGGTGGCGGATGCCCTTCTGGCTTGCACTCTTTATAAAGACTTGCGGAATGAGGTTATCACCCCTCTTTTATTGTCCATTCTGGGTCACCCAACCACTGCCACAGTTTCCTTTCTTTTTTTTTTTTTTAATATTTTATTAAGGATTTTCTTGTTTTACAGCACAGTTTCCTTTCTCTTGGCAGATCAAGATGAGCAGGTGACAGCAAAGGTTGCAGGGTTTTTAGCTGGGGCAATCAGAATAAGATCCACTATTTGACTATTGATTTAAAACCCTAAAATGTATTTTATATAATTGACTTTTAAATTTTATTCTTTGTATATCATATTGTTTTTTCATTGCTATGGCTGATGGCTGACGCAAATAAAGATTCATTCATTCGTTCATTCATACCATCTAATAAGGAATTTGAAGATGGTCTGTCTCAAAACCCCTCTCTTGCAAGGAACTCTGCACGTACAGGTAATGTGTAGCTAATTTGGGTAGACTTTGATGGTTATGTGTAAGGCTGTTGCCCTCTCTTTCCCCTCTTTTCTTCTTTTACTTGGAAATTTTATTTCATTGGTTCCAAAATGAAGTTTTCACTAAAACTCTCCCCGTGTTCAAAACCTTAGTAGCTGTCAGAACCTGTGTGTTCTTGGCACCCTCCACAGGATTTTGTTCAGTCCTGTGAGTTTTGGAAAAGTAAATCCAAAGCTCCTCGCTTTTTAATATTTCTAAAGGTGGCTGAAAGGTCATTGTCCGCTGGGCTCAGAAGCTTTCCAAGCAGCTGGACAGCCTAGAGAAGGGGGTGCACCACAACCTGCGGCCCTCCAGATGTTTCTGGACTACAACTCCCATCATCCCTGATCACTAGCTATGACGGCTGGGGCAGATGGGAGTTGTAGTCCAGAAACATCTGGAGGGCTGCAGGTTATGCACCCCCCTGGCCTAGAGTGTCAGTAGATCTGTTTTATTTAGTGGCAGTCTAGCATAAGAATTGGTGGCGCTGTGGGTTAAACCACAGAGCCTAGGACTTGCCGATCAGAAGGTTGGCGGTTCGAATCCCCGCGATGGGGTGAGCTCCCGTTGCTCGGTCCCTGCTCCTGCCAACCTAGCAGTTCGAAAGCACATCAAAGTGCAAGTAGAAAAATAGGTACCACTCCTGCGGGAAGGTAAACGGCGTTTCCGTGCGCTGCTCTGGTTCGCCTGAAGCGGCTTAGTCATGCTGGCCACATGACCTGGAAGCTGTACGCCGGCTCCCTCGGCCAATAAAGCGAAATGAGCGCCGCAACCCCAGAGTCGGCCACGACTGGACCTAATGGTCAGGGGTCCCTTTTACCTAGCATAAGAATTATGAGAATTTTGGAACCCCCTTACAAAAGGGGGTCTGCTAGTAAGGAAAGCCTCCTGCCTCCCAGTTCCCTCACACCTGTAAGCAGGTGCTTGCCACCTGAAGCGCATCCTCCACCCACTCTGTACTTAGTTTGATTTGGGAAGTCAGATTTAGCACCATGCATATGTGTTAAAGACAGACATGCTTCAAACCTTGTCAAACCAGGGGAGAGATGCTTCACTTGTGGAGGCCGCAATAGCTGAAGTTTTTCCTTAATTTTCTTCTTCATATCATAAGATAAATGGTAAAAACCAAGCAAAATTTCTGCTTGGAAAGCTACACATTGTCCCTGCCCCACCCCCCCTGTCGATAACAGAAAGAGGTAGGGAAAATTGGTGGGCTACCTAATTCCCACAGTACTCCGGAGATATCTTTTCAGACAGTTAATGAGCAGTCTAAACAGTTAGTTCGTCCATTGTGTTAGCTATTCCTTCCGCGGCTAGCTTAATGCAAGTCAGGACTTGGAGAGAATCCGTATGAGGCTGTTAGGAGATGCCGGTGGTGTTTGTTTAGTCTGGGAGCAAGGAGAACTCCAGTTTCTGGCTGTGTTCAGCAGCTTCAATAAAACAAATCCTCTGTTTTAATTGCAAGAGCCTTGTCCTCTTGCTGCTTTACCATTGAGTCAATACTTAATTGTTGTCCACAATTAAGTAATTCAGAGCCTCGTTTTCTTTCTTTCTACCTTTACTTGATAACAGAGCATCTTATAGCGGTGCTGTACCAAACCAACTATAACATTAAACAATTTCTAAATTAGATTTCATGAGTTTATTTTTTGCCAGATTATAAATCAAATGCAGATTTTTTTTGAAAAAACACCTATGGGTTTGCTTCACAATGAAGGCTTGCCTTCATCTTAAACTCCTATGTCCCCCCCCCTTCCTTTCAATTTTCTGAATGGGAAACTTCTATTATTTTTAATCTGATGTTTTAGAAGCTATATCCAGCTATGCAGCTCAATGTTATATACCGTATTTTTTGCTCTGTAAGACTCACTTTTTCCCTCCCAAAAAGTAAGGGGAAATGTGTGTGCGTCTTATGGGGCGAATGCAGGCTGCGCAGCTATCCCAGAAGCCAGAACAGCAAGAGGGATTGCTGCTTTCACTGCGCAGCGATCCCTCTTGCTGTTCTGGCTTCTGGGATTCAGAATATTTTTTTCTTGTTTTCCTCCTCCAAAAACTAGGTGCGTCTTGTGGTCTGGTGCGTCTTATAGAGCGAAAAATACGGTAGATTATGAGGTAGAGTATTTGGACACTGGCCAGAAATCAAAGCTCCCAGCACTAGTGGGTTGCCAGTTAGGAATCAGAACACAGCACAGGGAACTGAAGAACAATGCTATCTCCTCACTGGCCTAGAATGGCAAGATTTAAAACTTAACTGGAATTAAAAAATGAGCCTGCGTTGCCAACACGCTGGGTTTGTAGCCTGCGATGGGACTGTAAAGGGCCCCACTAAGTGCAAAGATATCCCAATGCCTTTTTATGGAACGAAGCCAATCGGTGTGGCGGTTGCCTATGCTCAAATAAGGGAGTGAAGCATTTTACTTGTTTTTACAATTGAACACAATACCTATTCTGGGAAATCTCAGCTGTCACATCTTGAAGCAAACACAATCCAATTTATAAAATCCTGGATCTACCTCATGCCTTGCACAGCGAGCCTGGATTATGGGAGAAAATGATTGTTTTGCCATCAAATGATTTAAATATAGGTTGGGGGGGGAATATGCCTGCATAGGGAAGTTATTTAATAATAGCACAGACGTCTGAGGAGTTGCCGAAAAAGAAAGATATGTGATAGTGGGGATTTGGCTCATGTATTTTTTTTGGCAGAGCTTGAGGCAAGGAACAAGATGGTGCCCACATATATAGAAGCCAACTGGACTGTGGTAGTTGAATCTAATTTCAACACTAGTTAACAGAACAGCATCCTTAACTGCAACTAAGGGCAGCAGGCTAGCTTAGGAGGAGAAGGGTCGGCGGAATGAACAGCTCTGTCCTCCAACATCTCGTCACCACTCTGACTCTCCACCACCCCTTCCCACCAGGAAATGCCTTCCAAGGTGACTGCCAGACTCAAAGCAGCTCCCTGTGCATTCCTAAAAGTCTCATTTGATCAGGTGCCCTCCTGGTCAATATAGGTGAGGCATTGGAACTCCTACAGCAGAGGTGAAATCACCCAACTTCAACCTTGGATCATAAGATAAGTTACATGTAAAGTATTTCATGGAAGGAAAGTTTTTCAATGTCAGCTTCCACCATCAGAACCTCTTCTCTCCCCCCCCCCATTTACAGACCACCCCACATTCTAAAGAAGGGCATCCCTGAGCTCCTAGCAAGTCTTTTTTTGGATTTGCAGGTTGCTTCAGGGAGGAGAAGGTTGGGGAATGTTTCCTTCCATAAACTTCCTTAAGTTACCTTATCTGAGAATTCAAGTCCATGTCTTTATTTATTTTTCGGCTTGAATTTCTAACTAATAAAGGAGAGGCTATAATCAGGCACCCCCAAACTCGGCCCTCCAGGTGTTTTGGGACTACAACTCCCATCATTACTAGCTAACAGGACCGGTGGTCAGGGATGATGGGAACTGT